AAAATGGCTCTACTCGGGACAGAGAGTCCCACCCGAAGGTTCTGTCCGGAACTTCCTGGCGCCGAGGTGAGGTTGAAAATTTTCCTAAGTGCTGCCCGGAAGTTCCTGGCACTTTTACCCGGAACCTCCTGGCAGGTTTCCAGTTCAAACTTGTGAGTAACAGCTAGATGACATCACCTAGCCATTATATATATGGATCTCGTCCCCACGTCACCCTTTGGCCATTCCACTTTAGTTCTTGTGTTCCCTAGCTTGTTCTAGCCTCTCCCAATGTGATTTTGCTTCCTCCACCCAAATCTTGTGTATTTCTTGAGTGAGAGAGTGATTTTGAGGGTGGTGGTGAGGATTGGAGAAGGTTTTAAAGGCTAGGATGACTTGAGCACTTGGGGTATCTCGTTGGGCTGTTATTTGGAGCTTGTTACTCTTGGAGGGTGACCTCCTAGATGGTTAGGTGTCGCCCGCGAGTTTCCAACAAGGTTGTGGATTGACCCGGGCAAGTTTGTGAGGGCGTTATTCCACCTCCGAAAGGAAACGGAATACACGGTAAGTGAATTCCGAGCTGAGGTTTAGGATGTCGTCTTGGTAGAGCAGGCCTCACTTGTGGTGTTCTCTTGGTGTTCAAGTTGGGGATCTTAGTGGTCACTTGAAACCAAAGAGAAGTACCTAGGGGTGTTGGCTTGAATACCGGAGACCTCTTCCTAGGCCTTTGCTTGGTAAGGCAAGGGGTTAATTAAGACCCGGCTCTTTGGAGCTCCTCAACGGAGACGTAGGATTCTCGGTGGAGAATCCGAACTTCGGAAAACAAATCTTTTGTCTCCTCTCACTCTCTTTATCTTTGTGATTGTGATGCTTATCTCCTTATTTGCCTAGTTGTGCTATCATGTCTCCCATTGTACGATCACTTGTGATATCTTGTGTATTTTCATGTGTATTACTCTTGTTTGAGATATGTTGTACCTCTCTATGGTTTAGGCTTCCTTGTAATTTAATTTACTTGTTGTGAGGTGCTTGAAATAGCAATTCACAACTGCCCGGAAGTTCCTAGGAAGAACTCCGGAAGTTCCGGGCAGCTTTCTCTGCTTGTGAGAAAAAGTTGCCAGGAAGTTCCGGACCTTTTGCCAGGAAGTTCCGGGCCCTGATTTTAACCGCTGCGATTTGAAGTAAATTTTAGGAACGCCTATTCACCACCCCCCCTCTAGGCGACATCAAGGCCCTTTCAAGACACCAGTTCCATATTCCTGTCTGAACAACTAATCAATGACTAGCGATAATATAACAATGGAGACATATAGTAAAATAATCTGAACAAAATATTTTGCAAATTCAAGGCAAATAACTTGAATTTTAACAAAGCAGACACATTTTTTAAACTTATGTTCATATGGGAACAGTGTATAAAAAAATAAAACTATGTGTCTTATTTAATAGCAAGTCATCTGGCATGGAACTTAAATAGATAATGTGTAGGCAACTACAAAATGGATATGCAACAGAATTTATAGATGAAACTATGCATGTAAACATAGCTTAAGGTTACCTTGTATGCAGCATTCACAAATTCCATCATTGCTGAAATTGCAATGTTAAATCTTATTTCTTGAATTTCCTCTGTGACCTATAAAACCTAGAATAGTACATTATAGTAAGGAGTGGCATGAATCACCAATCACATCAGCACAACTACATGAAAAACATTTATCACTGCATAATCATGTTTAGCAGTAAGGAGACCCTGAGAATTGGCTGATGATACAATCTTGAAATAGTTAGTACATAGGCAAAACTTTTCACAAGATAACTGATAGGGGCACAGTTGCGAAGTACCATTACAAATAATCCATCTCAATATTGGAAGCATAAAAGATTCAAAAATAATTGAAATGGTGGCACATGCCGTAAAATTAATTAATAAAATTTATATTCCCCAAGTGCATGGCATGTATAGGAATTATGTGCCTGGAACTTGGTAGAACTGTTCAAATTTCCAAACCAGACTGCTAGTAAACCTAAAATTTTGAATGGCTTTCATTCAGAGTGAATTAGTGAAAAGATGTTATTTGGTCATGCTATCAACTGTGACCTACTCTTGCAATGCATTTGTGAAGAACTCGGAGCTAATACAAGGTTGGTTCTTTATCGGTAACCGTAGTTCTAACTCCATATGATCCATCTAGTGTGAAACTAAAGCATTTCTTTTTTGACTACTGCAGGAAAAAACAAACAATGGAGATACCCTAATACTCCCTCCGTCCACCTAAGATTGAAGGCGATATTCCATAGTAGAACTATTTGTCCAGATTTTCTGTTCTATGAAATATCACATCCGATTCTAGATACACTTATATTGGGACGAAGAAAGTATTTTTGAATAAGATGAGTGGAGCTATGCACGCCCTAATGTCTATAAGCAAGACCAGTGGGGTTGTGCAATTGAGGTAGGTTGCATCTTGGCTTAGCTGTTCACGAGAAACTACCCCCAGTCGAGATTGGCCACGCCTTGATTTGAGTTGATGGCGTCTTCAGGGGTAAGAGCCAAAGATCCACACTGGGGATGGCCTAAGGGGGAGTTTTGATGGTCACCATATTTTGCCACAACTTTGATAAGCTACTTTGATCAACTTATCCTAGTGCTACTTTGATCAGCTTATCCTAGTGTTTATTTGGCTGCCATCTTTTTTCTGCGCTATCTTTTTCTTTTGTGTCCCCACCTGTCATATATACATATCTTTGCCAATACTTGCCTAACTTGTGGCCAAAGATTTTTTAGCCACACAAATTGTGTCATGCCACACCTTAGCTATAAAAAGTTTGATAAACAAAAACAAGCATCCAAATAGCCCTAACTCATGCCGTGTTTGGAATGATATATTGCTATAGTCTAATTAGCCACACATAAAACGAGACGGATAATTAGTGTATAATTAAATTGAATATTAACAATTATAATTTTGAAAATAAATAATTTGTTTCTTAACAAAATTTTATAGAGTAAACAATAAAAACGTGTTAGGAAAAAACAAGGATTTTTCATTTCAAGGTGCTAAAAAAAACTTAGGGGATATACACGTGGCAAACAATAGGGAAAAAAGATACTATCTGTCTAGACTATCCAGATGTCACCGAGAGCAAAAGAAAAACACAACCCTCTTGTTGTCTAGCAAACGATGGCCTACTGGTGGCGGCAGTGTTGGGCTCTGGTGCATCGGTGGCGCGAAAAACTATAGTGTACTCACTTTGCCTCAAACTATAACACAATATTAGATGGAATGGGATTAAAGTTTTGGAACGCGGTAATTTCCACACCCTGCCAAGCAAATATTTTGTCCAAAATTTTCATTTTTTTCAAATATTTGTGAATTTGGTAACAATTTATTCAAAATTCAATAAAATGTGTCAAAATTTCATTAAAAAAATCGTTCGAAATATCCGAAATTTCAGAATTTCAACACCCACAGAAATTTTGGTGCCTTCCAAAAGTGCAAACCCTGGATGGGATATACCTTAGTTTTATTATGAATTTAAAAAAAGCATGTATCCAGATTAATAGTATTAAGATATATTTAATCTAGTCTTAGGTTGTTATATTTTAGAATATAGGGGTTATCAAACTTGATGTCGACACAAAGATATTGCTGATCCGCATGCATCGAGCTCTGTGGCAGCACCTTGGAAGCAGGAAGCATGGGATGATAAGGAGTGGACGACGGGAGATCGGTTCACTGTGTTGTCCCTGCCGGGCGACGTACGTCGGCCACAGCTACACCGACCCACACCTGATATGATCAGACAGACGAAGCTCGAAGGAGCGCCGCCATCATTTCTCTTGTGGACAGCCCTGATCACCCCCTTGTTTCATCCGCAAGACCGCAACACTGGATTCTCTAACCGCGTGGACGTGGATGTAGTATGGTCGATTATTGCTACTGGTACATGTGAAATTTATCGCTGGTGCGCGTCATCCCTGTCCACACACCCATCCCTGCAGCAAGAATTTTTTGGTGGTACATGTGAAAATTATTGCTGGTCCGCGTCATGACGCCTTCTAAGAGCAAGTATAATAGTAGGCTATAAGCCGGCTAAATGCTGAGGTGGAGGAGAGAAGATAGAAGAGAAAGGAGAAGCGGACTGTAACTTACAACCGGCTTGGACACAATAACCAAGAAACTCTGTGAGAAAGACAAGTGGACCCTATATTAATTGTAAAGAACTAACTATTATATGAGTAAACTGAGAGAAGGCTAAAAAAACCTTATAGCCAACAGATCGGTTGTAATATTAGCCTTGCTCTAATGTTTGAGCTCGTCGGGCGGCATTTACTGCCTCGAGCTCCACTCTGCTTTGCTCTCCTCCCTGTCGCACCTGTCTTACCTTGCCAACATCGCGACTTCCGATGACTGGTGATGCACAAAGGAGGAGGCGTATGTGGTGCACCGAAGTCACATTGGCTCAAGGCGGCAGCTCCTCGGTGGCCATGGCATGCGAAAAGGCAGAGGGAGAATGTACCAGCAGGAGAGAGAGAAGGGGAAGAAGATGATGACATGTGGGATTTGGCCATTTTTGAGATTGAGAAATGGACACGTTAGAGGTTATGTACACATGATGCTACGTGTCAGATGAGCATCATATAGGATGAAACCACCGTTTAAACCGTTGGGATGAAAAATAAACCCAGGTTTGATTCTTAAATGAGTTTATGTATCTAGCTTTACAGTTGAGAGAGTTTAATCAGACATCAGGCTTCGGCTATAGATGAGGGAGGGAGGCAAAATGGTCGTTTTCCTTGGTATGATATCCATGGCCGAGCTATCTCCAGTAGACCTCAAGATCCAATATAACAAAGCATTTTGCATGAATATCATACAAACTTCATTTTGAACCGTGGAGTGCACATGGATTTCGTGCTGTGTGAGTGAGTAAAACAATGAGCCTCGGCTCAATTTTTCTTTTCCGAATGTCTTATAAACACCACCTATGCAAGCAAACACTAGTGTTTGTACACATTAAATTAAACCACTGAGATATATTCGAAGGAATTCCTAACCTTCTGCCACAAATAATAGAGGTTTTTCTTTTCTTTTGCATATATTACCTACCAGTAACAATAGATTGGCACCTGGTTGCTGATGCATCATAACCAGGAGACACTAAATTCTGTTACCATCAGCAAGCTAATACTGACCTTGCAAAAAAAGAAGCAAGCTAATACTGAATTGTTTGCTAGCTGAAACAATGTGATCACAGGTATCTGACGAGAGAGAAGATGCCTGAATAAGACGCACACGGTATATTCAACAACTAGGCCTCCTCTTTTTCATGTGAAAAGATGAGCGGATTGTCCTGCAACTAACACAACATATAGTCTTGATGATAGTAACACGCTTGACTGAACTGGGTCACTTTTTACTGCAATGTCCTCAATGTGCTTACCAGCAAAGCCTCCACAAAAATAGAAACATAAAACAGTTCCAGTTTGTCCGAAAAATAAGACTGTACGGTAAACTGCGAGGGCCAAAACACTCAACTTCTCCAAGTTTTCCAAAACGAGAAGCCTCCTATTCATTAGAACGCATGCCAGTTGGTTTCTATGAAACCTGAATCAGACAGAAGATTAGGATTCATCTCAATAATTATACGAAGAGAACGACAACTGGTATATAAAGGAACAATTACGGTGTTCAACATAAATGCAAGTATATAGGAAACTATGACAGTCCATATGTAGTCCTTTTTTACTCATGAAAATTGAAAAGGTAGTGTTGTACTATGTTTTGTTCTTGTCCTCATTCAGCAGAATATGACGCAACAAATTATTTTTTTTAATATTCATGTCTTGATTCGGCAGAAGATTACACCCATGATCCCTTCTCTAAAATACTAAGCTTCATTTCAGGCTTGACAAGTGATAATACTTTAGGACTAAAGAATGATAGTGGTTCATCATGATGACAATGCTAGGCATCCTTTAAGCTCTTAGTACTTGTGTTTGTGTGCACCTAATAATGTCTGCTTGTTCACACACACAAGCCAACAGAAATACCATACTCCCCTATAACCGCTTTGTATTTTCATTAAAGCAATGAACATGATATTATTATTACTATCTATCAATTATTGGTCCCAGGAAAAATATCAGAACAGGATCACTCATGAAAAAACAGAAAGCTCTTATAATTAGTCGCCCATAATATTATACGAGACAAAGACAATAAATTGTGATGATTTGTTTGATGAAACTAAATCAAGATTACTTCGTTGGTGTTTTATTGGCCTGATTTGGAGTATGTTAGTAAGTCATGCAATGCTGTTCAAGAAAAAAAAGCTATAATTTGCACACTGATGCAAGGTCAAGATCAAGAGTAGAACATGATCATGATAATTTTTAGTGTAGTAGTATACCACTACCCTAAAGACAGCAGAAGACACAACAGTTGCTCATCTATTATTCTCATATTCGTTCTCTCGAAAGCACAGGACTGCGTTTCATTTCATTAAGGAGAACGGAAGTTAAAATATTGACAAGAACAGGGGAGCAAAAGAAAACTCCAAAGAACCCCCCTCCCCCTCCCCCGACACACACACACACATCATCATCATCCAAAGGCATAATTGCCCAGGTTAAGGGGTGCGTTCAGATGTCAAGGTTTGGAACACACTCCCTTCACACGGAAAACGAGATAGTTCATTAGGACATGATTAATTAAGTATTAGCTAAAAAAACTTGAAAGTGGATTATTATGATTTTTTAAAACAACTTTCCTATAGAAAACTTTAAAAAAAACACACCGTTTAGCAGTTTGGGTTGTGCGCGTGGAAAACAAGGAAGGAGAAGTTAGGAAGGTGGACAATCGAACACAGCCTAAGTCACCTAAACAGGAACTCATGGAGCGCAGATGTTCCAGCTAAACACCACAAGCCACATTCATTATCTACCATATTATAAACTGGCCTCTCATGATTCAGAGTAAACACTTCAAAAAATGAGGACACTTCGTCCATGTTCTTGAGTCTTGACAATGGTTATGTGCCATCAGAACTGAATTATCCTACTAAAAATGAGTGTACTAGAAGCAATTAAGTGAAGTCTAAAGAAGAAGTGAATTTTCTTGGTTAATTAAAACAAGGAAACAGAAATGATGGTATTGTACTATGTGCATGTTCCCTTTTTTTCTTAAAGCGCACTGCATTATTGATTTTCTGTATACTGTTTCGTTAGTTCGACAGAAATTAGCGACATGATCACTTTTCAAGAAACACTAAGCAATATGTTATATAGACAATAACAAGACTATAGGCTTTATTTAGGTTTTACTACAGAATAAGTGTTACTGGACCAATGCAAACTCTGTATCTACTATTGAGTAATAACTACCATCTGGCAACTATAGTCTATAGATCTTTTGAACCATATTCCTGTTTCCATTTCTTTAAGTGGACTGTGTTTATTTTCTGTATACCATTCCTCTATTGCAGCAAAACCTTGTTAAGGAATACAAAACCATAGACAATAACTTCAGGTGTAACATGACGACAGACTTTATTTCGATATACTACTAAATAATTTTTACTGGGCCAGCGCAAACTTTATATAGATATCAGCATCTGGCAAATACAAATATGTTCAGATGATGGAAAGTCAACTCATTAAAATTTGGTAATACATACTCCTACGACATGGCAGAATAGCATCATTGGTTGGCATAAAACAGACATAGCAATTTAATAAACAGGCTTTCATTGTCAGCAACAAATTAACGCCTGATAATTAATTGTTAACATGGTTTCCTTAACACAGTATATGAGGGAATAGACGATGAATTAAACAACAGTAGCAAAGGAAAGCATACAGTAACAGAATCTTCTTCACCTCAATTCTTCTTGTCCCTGTCTACACGAACCAATATGTCTGATAAGGTCTTGCTTTTGGCATCACCCTTGTTGCTCGCAGATGTTCCTTCAATTGAAGGACATGAACAATTATACAGCAAGAACAAAAGTAGAAGCTCACATTTTCATACATTGCATGAAATAGCTGAACTGCCAAAGGCAAACTGAGGCATCGAGAGTATGGCATTCGCATGTCAAATATACTTGAAAGAGACCACGACACCACACTTCTATTCTGAATTTTAGTTTTTCAGGAAATATTCTGAAATTTGTTCATGTTTACACTGCTAATATATATTCACGTGCTATGGGTAAGCGCCTTGGTGTCTTAGGACAATCATTCACCAAGGCCTAACCATGTACCTGAATTACAAACAGCTACTCCCTCCGTTTCACAATGTAAGACTTTCTAGCATTGTCCATATACATATAGATGTTAATGAATCTAAACACATACATATGTCTAGATTCATTAACATCTAAATGAATGTGAGCAATACTAGAAAGTCTTACATTGTGAAACAGAGGAAGTAGCAAATTATCCCACCACTAAGAGTTTGAGGTTTGTATTTTGTAAACGCTAATCATAAGAAGTGGTCCATCTGCTATTCACAAGCTGCCTATAACCATGCAATTATTTTAGAGAACATGGAAAAATATAAAAGTTGCTATGGATCTAACAATTCTAGCATCCTTACCCACACATATCACAAAAGCATCATCTTAAACAAAACATGAACGCGTGAAAGATGATTACCAGCAGCGGGGATTTTGCTTGATGCAAGCCACGGTGGGAGCACACATGATTTAAGGATAGAGGTGATAAACCAGGGTGAGCCTTCACCTTCTTCTATCGGCGAAGACCCAAGCACCTTCCCCATCTCCATGTCTACAGAAAGAACATGTTTGCCAACGATGACACAAATGACGCTCGAGTTTAGTGGGTCAATGACGGCAATTCGCGGGGTGTCCTCTGGTCCTCCTCCCTTCACCTCGCAGATTCGACCAAGCGCCACACGGTGCTCCAGCGTCCAGCTGCCGCCATCGTCGTCAAGCGCGAAGGAGCTGAGCACGAAAGGATCCTTGTCGGACACCTCGACATAGCGCAGCCTCCCCTCACTGACCCCCACGCGCCGATGAATACTCTGCACTTCTACTAGTAGATCTTCGCTGGGCATTGGCCACACACTGCCCCTCGGGAGCTCGACGAAGTGGAGCTCCGGCCGGTCGCTGAACGGGTCGGCGGAGATGACGCCCCATGTCAGATCGACCCACCACAGCCGTCCGGCGAACGCCACCGCCTCGGTGTCGATGTCCAGCCGCCGCACAAGCGGGAGCGGGGACGGCAAGCCGTCAATCTTGTCCCACTTCCCGGTTCGCGAGAGGAACCGCCACATGTGGAAGGTCCCGCTGTTGCTGTGCTCCCGGAGCATGGCGACGGCGTAGCTGTCGGGCGGCCCATGGCCGGCGGCGGAGCGGGTGAGGAGGCCGGTGTGGCGCCAGAAGAAGGTCTTCTTGGTGCCGTCGATGTCCGGGAGGCGGAACAGCTCGCCGGTGATGGGGTTGCAGACGAAGCGCGTGAGGTCCTGATCCTGCGGGTTGAGGCCGTCGAGGTCGAGCTCGCCTTCCCGAGTAGGGGTAGCGCCGGCGGCGAAGGCCTTGGAGACGACGGAGAGCGGGGCGTGGGAGTCCACGTAGGCGAAGAGGAGGAGGCCGTCGCCGCTCGTGGCGTAGATCACGGCGCTCAGCAACCCCACGACGTCGATGCCGGTGCCGGGTTTGGGGCCGGGCCGCCGGTCGACGAGGTGGTCAGGCAGGAGGAGGTAGGAGGAACACGGTGGCTCGGCGAGAAGAAGGGACGCGCGCGGCGACGGAGTTCTGGCCTCCGTCGCGTGGTGGATGCTGTGGATCATCACCCACCCAGGATGGCGCGAGGCGTCGGCGTCGGCCGCGGCGGCGGAAAGGGCGCGCCGAACGGGCGCGGCGGCGGCGGCCGCGGCAGAGAGGGCGCGCCGGACAGGCGCGGACGCGGAAGCAGCGGCGGAGAGCGCGCGGCGGAGCGGGAGTTGCATCCTGCGCCGGTGGAGCCGTGGAGGAGGCCGGCGAACTGCGAAAGCGAGAGAGAAAGGGACCCGCGTGGCGTCGAGGAGAAGCCGAGGAGGAGGTGCTGGTTCACGGTGGACCAGGTTCACGGAGGTGAGCTCAGACTCTGACAGCGGCAGAGGGGAGCCGCGCGAGCGTGGACCTGTTCCACCGAGCGCCCGGTGTTCTGCAGCAGGGGGTCGTGACACTGACACCCGGTGTACGTGGACTAGGTGCACCTATTCAGTTTTGTACTTGCTTTGCCGTGTTGTTGTAGCTTCTCTTCTTTTGGGTCCACATGTCAGGCGAAAGGCCGTATTGAGAGTTTGAAACTCGGAGGGGAAAAGTGCTCTTACTGGTTTTCCCGCCAAAATTCTACGCTATGTGGGCCGACAGATGGGCCCAAGCTATGGGCTATCGATCAACTAAACCTCAAGGCCCAGTTATGACCATCCTTTTGCACCCCCAGCACGTAAGACCGAATTATTAACCAAAATTTCTCCTTCAATTTGAACCGTGACATTGAGTTTGTGCTGTGTGCAGGGTTTACGATTCCGACATGCCCTTCCGTTTCGGGCACTGGCGGAATTCGAAATTTCGCGAAATCTGGTGGAAAACCGGTAAATTTCAAACAAATTTCATAAACCAAAATTTGAATACAAATTCTCTGAGTTTGCTGACAAGTTCTCGAAAACCGGTCGGTTTTAGCGAAATTCCGATCAAAATCATCGAAATGACCAGTAATATGTAATTTGGACCAACTACTAGCTGGGCCTAGTACATACAATTTGGCCCATATAAGTGTTTTCCTTTTTTTTTAATTCTTTATTCTTTTCTTTCCTGATGTAAGTTTCAGTAAATAAAACACAATACATCATTTTTTTTGAATATTTATATCCCAATAGGTTCTATGAATATCATAGTATTTATAAGATTTTATTTGTTTTTTCTTTTTTTATCAATTCAAATTTGAATTTGGATGAAACTCCTCGAAATCTCAGACGGTTTCTACTTTCGAGCCTCGTCAGAATATCGAAATTTCACGAAATTCGATCGGATTTCGTCGGAATCGTAAACCCTGGCTGTGTGAGTGAAAAATAACAGGCCGGCTCAATTTCTCTTCCAAACCAGACAAAATATACACCACCTATGCAAGCAAAACAATTGTGTTTGCACACAGAGACATGTTCAAATGAATTTCGAATTCCTAACCATCCGCCTCAAATAATAGAGACTTTTTCATACTATCTTCCTACAAGAGCACCAGTAACACTAGATTGGCACACAATGGCACCTAGTAGTACCTGATGCTTCCTAACCAAGCATAGAGATACTTTTTAAGTTCTTTTACCATCAGCAAGCTAACACTGACCTTGCAGGAAAAAAATATCAAGCTAATAGTGAATTGTTTGCTAGCTGAAACAATGTGATCACAGGTATGAAGAGAATGAATAAGCAGAGAACTGAGATATCATGATTTACAGAATTATGCATCATCTTTTTCAATGACAAAAAATGAGCTCATTGTCTTTCAATTAACACACCATGTATAGTCTTATGTGATGGCAGTGACATGCTGACTGAACTGGGTCACTTTTACTGCAATGCTCTCAATGTGCTCGTAAGCAAAGCCTCTACCAAAGAAAACATAAAATAGTTCCAGTTTCTCCCAAAATACGACAGCTAACTGCGAGGATCAAAACACTCAACTTTCCAGGTTTCTCAAAAAGTCAAAACGAGAGTTCTCCATGCTACCATTCATCAGCTTCCTAATTCATTAAAACTCATGTCAGTAGGTTTTTATGAAACCTGAATCGAATAGAAAACATTAGAATGTATATAGAAAATAATTTAGTGATCGACATAAAAGCAAGTAAACAGAAAACTGACAGTGGCTCATCATGATGACAATGCTGGGCAAGATTTTGTACAGTCCTAGTGTGCACCTAGTAATGTCTGCTTGTTCAGTATACCACACAAGCCAAAAGAAATACCACCGTAGCCCCCTATAACTGCTTTTTATTGTCTTTAAACCAATGAACATGATATTCTTATTACTTTCTAGATTATTGGTCCCAGCCTCCCAGGACAAAATAGTAGAACAGGATCACTTGTGACAAACAGAAAGCTCTTAATTAGTTGCCCATAATTTTATATGGGACAATAAATCATATTGATTTGTTTACTGAAAACAAATCATGATGTTGACTATCATTTTTATACTTGGTATTTTATTGGCCTAATTTGGTATATGTTTATAGGCCGTGCAATGCTTGTTCAGAGAAAAGCTATAATCTGCACACTGATCCAAGGCTCAAGAGTAGAACATGATTGTGATAATTTTGAATGTAGTCTACTACTACACTAAAGACTGCAGAAGAAGCGAAAGTTGCTGAAGTATTATTCTCATCTGAAATATCGATCTTATAAACTGGACTCTCATGATTCAGAGTAAACACTTGAAAACATGAGGACACTGCATCTATATTCTTGAGTCTTGACAATGGTTACATGCCAACAGATCTGAACTATCCTATTAAAAAATATTGTATTAGAGCAATTAAGTGAAGCACAACTCTTTGTGATACCATGTGAAGATCATAACTGTGTCAGTCTTCTGTTAACATTTCCCCCAAAATGAGTTCATTGTTGCAGAATCATTGACATCCTAATACGTAATATCCAAAAAGAAAGAGCTTCCTACTCCACCAAGAACATCTTTCACCTGTTAAATTTCAGACATTAGGGACATCTAATTGATCATATGCAGAGAATGAGCTGAGGAAGAAGCGAACAAAAATGATGGTATTGTACTATATGCCTGTCCTTTTTTTTTTAATAAAAGCACACTGCATATTGATTTTCGTTGATTTTCTGATCAAAATCAATATGCTACAAAAATTAGAGACATGATCACTTGTTAACTAACACTAAGCAATATAAACAATAATAAGACTATAGTCTTTATTTACGTTTGACTACTAAATAAGTTTTACTGGACCAATGCGAACATTGTATTAACTAGTGACTACCATCAGGCAACTACAGATCTTACAGCTGATGCAAGGTCAAGACATTAATGTTTGGCATACTCTTTTTTTTTAAAAAAAAAAGGTAGAAATGAATTCCGGCCTATACATCAACAAAGGATGCAAACAACCATTTTTAATTCAGAAGTGATATTACAATTTACAAGATGGTAGATAGCATCGTTGATTTTCTTAAAGCAGAAGTACCAATTTTGTAAGCTACGCTATCATGATCAGCAGCAAATTAACACTAATTAATAAGTTGTTAACACAGTTTCTTTAACAGGGGAGATAAGGAAATGGATGGTAAATATTAAACAAGAGTATCAAATGAGAGAACACAAGGACAGAATTTTTTTTCACCTCAATTATTCTTGTCGCTGTGTACACGAACCAACATGTCTGATAAAGTCTTGCCTTTGGCATCACCTTTGTTGCACGAAAAAGTTCCTTCAATCGCAGGACATGAACAATTATACCACAAAACGAAAAGTAGAAGCTCACATTTTTGTACATTGCATATAATAGATGAACATCCAAATAGGTAAACTGAGGCAACAAGAGCATAGCATTCTCATATCAAATGAACTATTAAGACAAAGGGGAGTTACTAATACCAACTTTCTATTCTGAAATTTCAGTTTTTCAGGATATATTCAGAAATGTTATTCAAAATTACTCTGCTAATATCCATAAGTATCTTATCTTAAACAAAACATGAAGGTGTGAAATTTGGTTACCTACCTGCATTAGGGATTTGGCTTGATCCAAGCCATGGTGGGAGCACGCACGGCTTAAGGCAAGTGGTGATAGCCCATGGCGAGCCTTCACTTTCATCAGTGAGCGAACACCCTAGCACCTTGCCCATATCCATGTCGACCGCAAGAACATGTTTGCCAATTAGGACACAAATGCAGCTTGAGTTTAGTGGGTCAATAACGCCAATCCGCGGGGTGGAAGTGTAATCCTTTGAGGGGAGGCCTCCTCCATTAACATGGTCCCTGCAGAGTGGAGCAAGCTCCACCTGGTGCTCCATCGTCCAGCTGCCGCCGTGGTCGTCGAGGGCAAATGAGCTGAGCACGAAAGGATCCTGGTTGGACAACTCGACGTAGCGCAGCCTCCCCTCGCTGACTCCTAGGCGCCGGAACATACCCAACGCTTGTACTGGATGGGTGCTGGGCATTGGCCACACACTGCCCCTCGGGAGCTCGACGAAGCGGAGCTCCGGCCGGTGGCTGAACGGGTCGGCGGAGATGGCGCCCCAAGTCGGATCGACCCACAACAACTGTCCGGCGAACGCCACCGCCTCGAGGTATAGCTCCATCCGCCGCGGGAGCGGGAGCGGGGACGGCAACGGCAAGCCCACCAGCTTCTCCCACTTCCCGGTTTGCGAGAGGAAACGCCGCATGACGAAGGCTCGTTCATCCCCGTTGCGGCTGCGGTCCTCGTTGAGCAGAGCGACGGCGTACCTGTCAGGCGGGCCGTGCCCGGCGGCGGAGGCGGACCGGGTGAGGAGGCCGGCGTTGGGGCCGTAGGACAAGGTCTTCTTGGTGCCGTCGATGTCCGGGAGGCGGAACAGCTCGCCGGTGATGGGGTTGCAGACGAAGCGCGTGATGTCCGGGTCCATGTCGACGCCGATCAGCTTAGGCTCCCGAGTGCCGCTGTGCGTGGAGACGACGGGGGCGTGGGCATCCGAGTAGCAGAGGAGGAGGAGGCCGTCGCCGCTGGTGGTGCACACCATGCCGCCGAGGAGGGCCATGACGTCGCCGTTGTCGGGGCCGGGGCCGGGCCGGCGGTCGAAGAGGTGGTCGGGCACGTAGAGGTTGGAGGCGCCCGGGGGGTCGGCGAGGATGAAGAAGGCGCGCGGCGCGGTGGATCTGACCGCCGGGATGTGGTAGATCATCGCCCACGGCGGCGTGCGCGAGGGCGAGGCGGCCGCGGTGGAGAGGGCGCGCCGGCCGGCCACGGACGCGGCGGCGGAGAGGGCGCGCCGGAGCGGGAGCCGCTGCATTTTGGGAGTAGTCGGCTTGCCAGCGAAGGAGAAGCCGAAGAGGCGTGGTGGGTGGAGCTCTGACAAGCCGCGGCAGGTTGGATTTTGCAGTTGTGTGAGCTGGTGCACTAGACCTGGCGCACGCAGTGGGCACCTGCTGTGGGTCCTTCTACCCGTTGCCGTGGGGTTCGCATCCTCTGCCATTAGGGGGTAAATGGCAGAGGGGAACAGTAAAATGTGAGTAGCGCTACAGTGTTTTGCCATTGCTACAGTTGCGGTGGGGGTTCTCTTCTATAGGCCCACATGTCCAGATGAGCGACCGGACGAGACACGGAGGGGGAAAGTGCGTAGCCCTTTGACGTTGGGTGTGTTTAGTTTCTGCGTGTAAATTTTTTTTAAAGTATGCGGACAAATATTTGGTATTAAATAAAGATTAATAATAAAATAAATTATAAATTTTATCAAATTTATTAAGTCTAATTGATCCGTAGCATCACATTGTTAAATCATGGCGTAATTAGACTCAAAAGATTCGTCTCGCGATTTACATGCAAACTGTGCAATTGATTTTTTTTTCATTTATATTTAATACTCCACGCATGTATTTAAATATTTGATGTGACGCTTTTGGTCAAATTGTTTTGGAATATGAACAAGGCTGTTTTCGATATTGCATTTTTGGCCTCCCCTGATTTCTCGAACTATTAGATGATGATGCAGTTTTATAAAAATAAATTAATAGAAAAATAATTTTGAAATTATATTAATGCACTTTTAAAAGTTTTTTTAAGCTGTCGGTGATATGGGACCGGGAGTATCATGACCAGAGGCTTGAGGCAGACGCAATCGCCCACGTGGCCTGGCACCTTCGGGGACGTCGGGCCCGAGGGTGAGGTGTCCGCCCTCCTCCTGATTTCCCCCGAGGGGGGGTCGGGTTGCGCTTGCCCCGGCCCCGAGGGCCGAGGCACCCCGACCCCTTAAGGAAGTCTGCGCCACATATATGGGATAAGTGAGCACAGCTGTGCTCACCTAACAGCATTTATTGCAGTCTGGTCAAGCGTGTCACGCTGCATGCAACGCAGTACAGCGCGTTCCTTTATCCGGTCTGTGACCAGTCACAGACCGGTCAGATCACGGGTTAGGTGGCGGCTGGCGGTCTGACGCACGCCTTGCCCCATCCCGTCAAGACGAAAGCCTCTAGGCACTCGTCTCAAGCCGGAGCTAGGGTGTTATCTCTTAGAGATGGCACGTTAGCCCTGGTCAGATTTACACCAGGCTTCATCCTAACCATTACAGGCAAGGTGTTACACGAAAAAGGGCAAACATGCACGTTGTTAAGCTGACGCGTGGTGAACAAGAATGACCGGTCTGGCACTGGTCGCGTCATCGACAGACAGCCACGGTCCCGCGTCATCTCTGTCTTCGGGGGAGGTGGGGGTAGGTGTGGGCTGTCCCATCAGAAGGGCTCCCGGATGGAAACCGTACCGATCTCCGCCCATTAAAGAGAAAAAGAACAGTCCAGTTTGGAAAGAGAAAGGTGCATGTGGTATCCCCTTGAGATATAAAAGGAGGACCTTGCCCATTTAGAGGGGGACGGGACTTTTTTCCCTTTTGGAAGGCTGAGGGGAAAGGGAGTTAATCCTTTGTGACTCGTCCATACACAAATCCACAAAAACACAGGAGTAGGGTATTACGCTTCGCAGCGGCCCGAACCTGTATACATCACTGTGTCTCGTGTGTCTTGCGGGCGGGTGATCTTTCCAGATACAGAGAGAGAGAGCTTGAGATCTCACCCTAAGCCCCCGGCCGAACCGGCAAAGGGGGGCCTGCGCGGTCTCCCGGTGAGGAGCCACGAGCTCCGTCATCTGGCGCGCCAGGTAGGGGGCTCAGTGTGTGTTTTCTGAGCTCTCATACTCTTCCGTGTGCGCCAAGTTTTTCTTGTTCTGCCTAATGGCCGAGCAAGCGAAGGCGCACGACCTCTCACCGAGTGTGAGCGGCGACGACGGGGAGCCGAATCCACGCCGTCGAGCTCGTACTCCCCCACCTCCTCCGCGCCAAAGCCCTAAGCAGGGGGAGGCGCTTGAGAGGGTCGACAAATCCGTGGCATCACCAGTCGCAGGTGATGCAGGAGAACGGCGAGATGGGGAGCGTCGCCTCCTCGTCTGCGGCGACGGCAGCACGCCTCAGGGTGCGCTTCAGGCTGCTGGCGCGCTCCTACGACACCCGCCTGTCGTCCATGACCCGGAGTCTCCAGCCCAACGATGGCTGGAAGACGTGGCCAACTTGGTCATGACGGCACAGCAGCGCCTGGGTGCTGGTGGACGGTCCGCCACCACCAAGACCTCCGGCGCCGCTACCACCGGCTCCGTGTCGTCAAGGCGGAGGGCGCGGCGAGCGGCGGCTGCTGCGCGCCATTCGGCCGCCACTCCCTCGTCGACACCTCCAACTCGGGAGGATCAGCATGGAGAGCCGGATGCCCGCATCGACATCGAGCGCCGGCGTAATAACCGGCGTACTCCCCGCGCAACGGAGGGCGCCTCTTCGTCCAGAGTGTCACCTCGACATGGACGAGAGGATCAGCCCTCCGTGCCCCCGGCCGGTGGTGTTGGCTGTAGAGCCTTTGTGGCGAGTCTTCGGAATGTCCGTTGGCCCCCAAGGTTCCGGCCCACCATCACCGAGAAGTACGATGGGAGCGTCAACCCCACCGAGTTTCTCCAGGTCTATACGACCGGGATCGAGGCCGCTGGGGGTGACGACAGGGTCATGGCGAACTTCTTTCCCATGGCCCTAAAAGGACAGGCGCGGGGTTGGCTAATGAACCTGCCACCCGCGTCGGTCCACTCCTGGGAAGATTTGTGCCAACAGTTCACCATGAACTTCCAAGGCACATATCCGCGCCCAGGCGAAGAAGCGGACTTGCATGCAGTACAGCGAGGCGATGATGAGTCGCTTCGCTCGTACATTCAGCGGTTTTGCCAAGTCCGCAATACTATACCATGCATCCCTGCACACGCGGTGATCTACGCGTTCAGGGGGGGCGTACGGCACAACCGCATGCTCGAAAAGATCGCTTCCAAAGAGCCCCAGACTACCGCGGAGCTTTTTCAGCTCGCGGACCGAGTGGCTCGTAAGGAGGAAGCGTGGACATGGAACTCCTCCGGTTCCGGAGTGGCAGCTTCGGCCGCCCCCGGATCCGCCGCTCAGACAGGGCGGCGTGACAGGAGGAGGAAGAAGAGGTCGGACCGTTCCGGCGACGAGGGTCATGTCCTCGCCGTCGAGGGCGCTCCGCGGGCCACTCGAAAGGGGAGGCCTGCGAGCGACAAAAAGAAAGAGGCTGGTACTCCCAGCAGGGAGCGCCCCGCCGGCAGGTGGTGCTCCGTCCACAACACCTCCCTCCACGATCTCGCGGACTGTCGTGCAGTCAAAAACCTGGCTGAGCGAACGAGGAAGTGGGAGGAGGACAGGAGGCAGGAACGCCGTGAGGGCAAGTCCCCGGCGGTTCCTTCCGGCAAACGGCGAAGTGAGGCCAAGCAGAAGGCCCCCGCTGTTGACATCGATGATGGTGATGATGACCTAGGTTTCCAAGAACCTGGGGCCACCATTGCCACCGTCGATGGAGGAGCGTGTGCTCACGTCTCTCGCCGGAGCTTCAAGGCTATGAAGCGAGAGCTTCTGGCCATGGCCCCTACTCATGAGGCGATGCGTCGGGCGCGGTGGTCGGAGGTTGCTCTCACCTTCGACCAGACCGACCACCCACCGTGCATTGCCCGGGGAGGGCAGGTTGCGATGGTAGTTTCCCCCACCATCTGCAATGTGAAGTTGGGGCGTGTCCTCATAGATGGAGGAGCGGCTCTCAACATCCTTTCCCCCGCGGCCTTTGATGCTATCAAGGCCCCGGGGATGGTGCTCCAGCCGTCTCAACCGATCATCGGTGTGACGCCGGGGCACACATGGCCATTAGGTCACATCGACCTACCGGTCACCTTTGGTGGATCAGCCAACTTCCGCACGGAGCGGGTGAACTTCGATGTGGCGGACCTCAGTCTGCCCTACAACGCGGTCCTGGGGAGGCCCGCGTTGGTGAAGTTTATGGCGGCGGTCCACTACGCCTACCTCCAGATGAAGATGCCGGGCCCCGGTGGCCCCATCTCTGTCCGTGGCGACCTTAAAGTCGCGCTCGCTTGCATGGAGCAGCGCGCGGACCACCTCGCTGCTGCGACCAAGCCCGAGGGTGGTGACGAGAGGCTTGGCACCTCCGCCCCCACCGCCCCGAGGCAGCGGATTGCCACATGTGACGAGGTCCCGGTCAAGGAGGTTGCCTTGGGCGACGGCCCATCCAAGACCACACGGATCGGTGGTCTTCTGGATGGCAAATAGGAAGACGCGCTCGTCTCCTTCCTGCGGGCAAACGCTGACGTCTTCGCATGGAGACCAGCGGACATGCCCGGGGTCCCCAGGGAGGTGATTGAGCACCGTCTCGCCGTGCGGCCGGGCGCAAGGCCGGTCCGGCAGAAAGTGCGGCGGCAGGCCCCGGAACGTCAAGCCTTCATCCGCGAGGAGGTGGCGAGGCTTCTCGAGGCCGGATTCATCCGTGAAGTCATCCATCCGGAGTGGCTGGCGAACCCGGTGGTCGTTCCCAAGGCGAACGGCAAGCTTCGGATGTGCATCGACTACACCGACCTTAACAAGGCATGTCCTAAAGATCCTTACCCCCTGCCTCGCATAGATCAGATCGTCGACTCCACTGCGGGGTGCGACCTTTTGCGTTTTCTAGATGCATACTCTGGTTACCATCAGATTCGCATGGCTAGGGAGGATGAGGAAAAAACTGCGTTCATTACCCCCGTAGGAACCTATTGTTATACATCAATGCCCTTCGGGTTAAAGAATGCAGGTCCTACTTTTCAACGTACTACTCGAATTTCTTTGGGTAGCCAAATAGGACGTAATGTTGAGGCTTATGTCGATGACTTGGTTGTAAAAACGCGCAACCAAGAAACTTTACTTTTAGATCTAGCGGAAACTTTTGAGAACCTCCGCTCCGCCCGCATAAAGCTGAACCCCGATAAGTGTGTGTTTGGTGTACCTGCGGGCAAGCTTCTCGGGTTCTTGGTCTCTGCCCGAGGCATTGAGGCTAACCCCGAGAAGATTCGAGCTATCGAGCGGATGCGCCCCCCCAGCAAACTTAGGGATGTGCAATGCGT